CGGTTTAAACAAGGGACGCCTGGGACCATCACCATAAAGAGGCATTATGTCCGGATTTGGATGTTATTTTCCCGGGCTCGCAAAAAATGGTTCCGGCTTGTCATAAAAGGCTCGGGTTCGCAGGCTCGCATTATAGCAACCCCCTTCGTCGCACGGCCCAAACAAACATGGTGAGCAACTAAGCTTCTTGTATATGTCCGTAGTAAAACACACGAAAGGACTCCAAAGCACACTTCACTCTGATTGGGCAGAAAAACACAAAGATTTTCTGGCACCAATCAGATGCCAGAACGACTGCGACCGTTTGGAACAAGTCTTGTAAGACAATGTCCCCAGGGGCTCTTCTGCCCTAACTTGAAATCGACTCACAGCCCCTGGGTCTCTGAGGATGAATTTTGTTCATCTACAAGAAAGTTATGGTTTCAAGCACTTATTACAGAATGAAGCATCAAGTGCACCTAAACCAACAATTTTTTTTTTCACATAACGAAATAGGCGTATTTTTTGGAGTATTTCTGTGCAAAAATTTTTTTACTTGCTCAAATCTTCAATTTTCTGTGTCCAGTGAAAATGGCTCTAGTGGGTAATGTGACGTCAAATCGAGAACACGAAAGTCTGCATTTCACACATTTTCACTTGTCTGGGAAGGTCGTAGTCGATATTGTCCGAAAATAGGCCGACTAAGTGTGTTGTAGAAGGATGTAGCAACGTGCGAAATTTGCAATGGGGTATCGCGCTTCCTACATTCCTCATACAACACACCTAGTCGGCATATTTTGGACAATATCAACGACAAACTTCCCAAACAAGTGAAAATTCGTGAAATGCAGACTTTCGTGTTCTCGATTTAAAGTCACATTACCCGCTAGAGCCATTCCTTTTTTAAACTCGCTCGTGGGGCAAGATGGCGGCCGATTTTCCGTATTTTGACTGGGTACAGAAAATTGAAGATTTGAGCAGATTAAGAAATTTTTGCAGAGAAATGCAGACTTTCGTGTTCTCGATTTGACGTCACATTACCCGCTAGAGCCATTCCTCTTTAAACTCGCTCGTGGGGCAAGATTGCGGCCGATTTTCCGTATTTTGACTGGGCACAGAAAATTAAAGATTTGATCAAATTAAGAAATTTTTGCAGAGAAATACTCCAAAAAATAAAGTTATTTCGTTAAGCGAAAAAAATGTTTTGGGTATAGGTGCACTTTAACTGCCTTTGAAGGGAGAAGATAGAGGCGATGGGTATTACGAGAATTTCGTCAGATTATTTACAAAGCTGCAATCAGGGCTGCTATGTTAAAGGAACTAACAACAACAATAATCTTTGTGAACAACTGTACGGCTGAAAATAAGAAAAAAGGGGGAAAACGGGTGTGACAGACAGTTGATTTAAAAGGAAAGCGTAACCACATTAGAAAACAACGGAGCCGACTAGAACAGCTGGCTTCAAGTGGAAAATACAAGAAATGACGATTGAAAGCAAGGCGATATGATTTAAGGATTGAAAGTACTAAAGTCCGCTTTTGAATTAATCACGCTTCCACGTGGATGTCACAATCAGTAGCTACTCTTTCAAAGTTCTGCGTATGTGCAACCAGGCGAGCGTTTCGAATTCTTAGAAGACCCAAACATTTCTCGTGCTTGGTAGAGGTCTTCGAAAGCCCTAGCAGGCCATATACCATGACTATGCAACTAATTCTCGTCTTCTCATTAATATCTTTAAGCACTTAACGCTTTAGTGTTTTGTTGTTTGCCCAAGTTTATTTATGACTGTGACTTTATTTCCACACAAACTTTGTAAATCATGCTTTACTTTTACAACCGTGAATTGATTGCACGCATGTAACGTCGATCACTGATTTACTCAATTAATATCTTATTTGCTTACACTAATATTGATATCAAAATTTAACTATAACGTGTTATCCTTAGTTTGATTGTAGATCCTTTGCATTCCGTTCCACCCTTTAGAAACGAGTACACACTAATTTCTATCTGACTTATGTTATGAAGGACACATGAAAAATACCGCCTAACAAGGCTCAAAACTCAGAATGTGATACGCGGTTCAATCAGCTAGAAATCAAAGTTCTTGTGAAACATTTTTTCACTTTATCGTATACACACGGAACAGTGCGTTTCCTACATCATAAAGGAATCTCCAAGCAATATTTTCCGTATGGAATACTCAAGCTGGTACAGCAAGGGACTTTCCCCAATTTTTTCACCTTGCAGATTAAATATCTTCCTCTCATCAAGCCC